CTGCAGCTCACATCTCTCTCCGTCTCATCCTCTTCTTGTAAACACTCCCCGTCATCACTCCCACTCGGTCCATCTGACAAACGCGAAGTGCTCCTCCGTTGGGACCTCAACTGCTCCAATGCTTCAGTCAAGACCTGCCAATCGGAACTTGGCAGTACTTTAGATAGAATACGATACTGAGACTCACCTGCTCCCTAGCCTTCAAATCCCTTTGTCGCTGAGCCAGGTTCGCTTCCAACTCATTGCACTCCCTTTCCTCTTCCTCAATCGACTTCAATAAGGCATCATATTCTTCCTGTCGACGCGATAACTGCAGACATCCGTTTTGGAAGAAAAACTTTTCTTCCCTCAGCTGAGCTCGGAAGTCTCCTCACTAACTATAGAAACTTACACGAATTCGGACAGAAGTGTACAAAAAGCAAGAGGAGCTCCCGAAATTTTCATATTGTCACCAACACACTTAGTTGACCATGCGCATATTCTCCCATTTCTAAAAACTCACCATCCTACCTGAGCTTCCGCGTCCGCTACCTCGTTCTGTAGCCCTTCCAACTCTCCCTTCATCTCGGCCAACTTGGTCTCTCGCTCCTCAATGGTAGCCGTCTTCGCCGTCACCTCCGCATGCATGACCGTGCACTCTTCCTGCGCCGTCTGCAGCTCAATCTCGATTGACTCCGCACGCTGAACGACTACCAGACTGGAGTATACGTTTAGTTCCCTCAGCTGAGTTCGGGAGTTTCCCCACTGCATTGCGATCATTCAGGCACGACTTGGGGTAGAATTTCCTCATCGTCAATAACACGTGCATAACAAGCCAATTCTTACCTTGGCATCACATCGTATAATATTTTTATTAATACTGGTACAAATCTATATATGATTTCGAGAAATTCATATATCCCGTCAAGTTTTCGGGTTATTGAGCTGAAACGTTGATAGGGTATAGATAAGCTGATAACCCATCATATACTTATTTTCCCACATTGAGCTCAGCTCACCTCAGTTTCGTCCTCAAGCATTCCTCTAACCTGCTCTAACTCCCTCTCAAGCTGAGCGTTGGTATTGTACTGATCCTCAACGGCTCCCCTGAAGAGACCACCACCCTACTCTACTCAACGATTAGGATAGGATGGGATAGATAGAAAAGTGTTGCTATATACATATGGGTGGATAGCAATACGTCAGCTATGAGACAGTTATGTAGCTATTACTGATGACTGTGTATTGCGAAATTACACCAGTACAATCAGGCCCAACACTGTCCTGGCGGCT